AACTTCCCCCCCCCCCCCCCCCCCCCCCCCCACACACACACAACCTAGTCCCCAACACATTTTAATACAAACTTATGCCACTGCACTGAAGCAGGTTTTTTTTTTTTATTATTATCCCATTTGGTGCTTGGCAAGTGTTAATTTAAGCCCTGGACACACCACTTTTGATAACACTCTTCATCTATATTTTATTAATCTCACTATAATTTTAACCTGATGGCTGATTTTAACAGGTCAACATGAACTGCACATACTGCAGGCCCATAATAGATATGCAACCATAATTCCTGACACACTTTCCATGTCACATTAACCCATATTTAAAGCAAACTGCCAGAAGGTTTTTTTGATGCCTTTCTTTACAGTATAATATGTTTACAACCACAATTATTGAGAACTCCCCCCACATTTGAGGCATGACTATTACATTCAATGATCAAAGATGATTGCAGTGAGTCATAGATTAGGAACACACTTCACTGTATTTAGTTGTCAGAATTCAGGGGGGAGGTTGCTACTACATTGTGTCGAAAGGGAAGCCCACTGTCTTTGACTTTGAAAACCCCTAAAAGCATATTATAAAATATGTTCTAAAACATATGATAGCTTCGTGTGACAAGCAGACCAAAATTTAAATAGCTTTCAAATCTAATTCATGCCTATACATTTAAACATAGTGCATTTAGATCTCCCACACTAGATTTGATGATTTTGCTGGTTGTCGTTGGTGTGAATCTGACAGTTCATCAGTCATTAATTTGTATATGATATTATAAGATAGCAGCTTGTGCATTTAGCAAAAGTTATTCTTTCTTTTTTGTATGTAAGAGAAAAACATACAGGTTTGGTATGGTAATAATCCTTTTGTTCTCTTTTGGTTAATTGCTGTTGCATATTTTGTCAGAGTTGCTTTGAATAAAACAGTTTTCTCTGTGAATTCATGGAAAAGGAACAGCCTGAGGATGAATGATGGCTGAATTAAAATTTTTATGTAAACTGATACAGTTTTACATGTACTGAACTCATAAACTGAATGCTCTTCATATTCTCTTTTTTAAGTCGTCATCCCCTCACACCTCTGAGTAACATCAGTGCAGAATCTACACCAGCACCTTACAAAACCTCTTCATTTCATATTTCTCCTCTGACCTCCTGTCAACCCATCCTTTCCTTATATCCTCCTCCTTATCCCCTCTTCGGTTTTATATAATCTGTTACTAATTCATTTAAAGTATGAAGCTGTTTCTACAGTCCTTATTTAACCTCCAGGAGTGACTGTGCTTTGCATACAGAAATTAGTAGCCAGGCAATGGAGGAAACTAAGTGCTAACACAGCAGAGTCCAGAGTTCAAAGCACCTTTAGTTACCACAGTTACTGGTTGATTCGTGGCATCTTTTATAGCAGGTGTTTGCTTAAAGTGAAGTTGCAGAGTATTTGAAAACAACATATAAAAGGTCAAATATTTTGGCTAGGAGTGCCATTACACAGCACTGAATTTTCATCAGCCCATTACTCCAGACTTCAGTGTCACATAATCCTTCAGAAATATGCTGATTTATTATCAGTGTTGAAACTGTTGTGGTGCTTAATTTTATTTTTATTTAATTTTTTGGAACCTGTGATACTTTTTTCTTTGATTCTTTGATGAAAAAGTTTTAAAAAACAGCATTTATTCAAAATAGAAATATTTTCTAACAATGCAAGTCTTTACTATCACTTTTTATCCAATTAACACATCCTTGCTGAATAAAAGTATTCATTTCTTTAAAAAAAGAGAAATAAATAAATTGCTGACCCCAAACTTTCTGAAGATTTCTGAAGGATCATGTCACACTGAAGACTTGGAGTAATGATGCTGAAAATTCAGCGTTGCTTCACAGAAATACATTTTATTTGAAAGTATATTAAAATAAAAAAACTGTTATTTTAAATTGCAATAATATTTTACCAAATATTTTTCTGTATTTTTAATCAAATAGATACAGCCTTGATGAGCATAAGAAACATCTTTAAAAAAAAATACATTAAAATCTTTATAATCTTTAACTGATCCCAAACTTTTGAATTGCAGTGTATATATATATATATATATATTCACACACACACATTCATTTATCATTTACACAAGCAATGGTGCTAAATATTTGTTTAAATTTAGGTAATTTGAGTTTGAAAATCACCATCTGTGTTCCTTTTTATGGACTGATAGTACCTGTAGCCATTGTGTAGTGGATATTTTATTTTTCCAGTTGGCCAGAATTGTTTTCTTGGTGATATAGAGACAGAAGTAGGGAGAGACAGTAGACAGTTTTGCAGTGACTTATTTTCAAAATTTAGCCTATAGTAACCAGGGTGCACAACCAGAGAGCATATGGACTTCATCTTGTATATTGAGATTACAGTGCACACATTTGTTTGAATCTGTCATTCCCATTTTAAACTATTCGTTTTGGGTTAGGTGTGTTCTATGTATTACTTTATATTGGATAAGTTGTATGTTAGTATTTGTGACCCTGGACCACAAAAGCTCTGAAAAATAAATAAGCTTTCCATTGATGTGTGGTTTGTTAGGACAGGACAATATTTGGCCGAGATACAACTATTTGAAAATCTGGAATCTGAGGGTGCAAAAAAAATATATAATAATAATAATTTTTATATATATAAATATTGAGAAAATCACCTTTAAAGTTGTCCAAATGAAGTTTTTAACAATGCATATTACTAATCAAAAATTAAGTTTTGATATATTTACGATAGGAAATTTACAAAATATCTTCATGGAACATGATCTTTACTTAATATTCTAATAATTTTTGGCATAAAAGAAAATTGATCATTTTGACCGATACAATACAATATTATTTTAATTTTGACCCATACAATATTTTTGGCTATTGCTACAAATATACCTGTGCAACATAAGACTGGTTTTGTGGTCCAGGGTCACATTTTTGATGAAACTGAATGTGTTTAAACAAACTTGTTTCCAATTTTTATAGTTTAAAATAAAGCAAAATTGTAATCATGGATGACTGGATGAGTCATGGAACATTTTTGTGTTTAAGTATTTATTTCTTTATTTATTTAAATGTATTTATTTATTCATTCATCCAAAATCTTCTAAAAGTTTTTGTAATGTTTATTCATCACTTTATTCAGCGTCCTCTAATGATTGGAATTTTTTGAGTAAATATTGATATGCAATTTATTGTGTCTACTTTAATTAATCAATCAGCACATCATGTAGTTCATTCGAAGCAACTGGTAAATGTTTAAGCAGTTACAGCCTTTATACAGATCATTACACTGGCCTGATCTTGTAAATTCCAACTTAATTTAATGGTCAATAGTCTACTTGTGTCTTTTTGCTCATATCCACATTTCTCCAGTGCTGATGCATGGAATATGAGCGAGAGCTTTTAACGTTCCCTAGAGAAGTATGTTAAGTACTGGAATAATATCATAATACACTGATCTGCTATGGTTAGTGAAATATTTTGTCAGTGTTATAAACCTCTAACTTCCTAATGGGTCCATTTCTTAGTGTTTTCTGAAACTGTGGCAGGTTTTGACAGCACACCACTGCAGTCCTGCTGAATATTTCATGACCATCTGTGGAGAATTATGGCTCTGTTTACATCGGCCAGTAAAAATAAAGGAGTATGCTAGAGCCCCGCCTTTTCCCATATTATACTTTAACTGCTGATTATTCAACGATTATTGATTTTTCTTAGCTGCAAAATTTTAATTAGTTTGTTTTTGGTCCATCAAAGGTTACTACTAATTTCAGGTGAAATGGCTTAAGATCAGCATTTAGGTGAAGTGGCTATTAGAGTGAGGGTCAGAAAACTGTTTATTAGCTTTCAGATCAATGTACACCTGCTCTCCATACCTGCTGTTTTTGTGTGAATAAAGAAAAGTGCACGAAGAGAGAGCAAGTTGGAGGAGGTGTCTCTGGAGAGTGTGTTCATGAAGTGCTTTGGATTGTGCGTGCGTTGGCAGACACAATGTGCATGCCAATGATGAGGGGCTCCACTCTCACGCATCACCACAGGGAATGCACACACTCTTTCTGCATCACAAATACGCTCATCTGACTTGTGGGCTCTTGATGTTCACACACACTTATACACAATCCAGCACAGGCACGCTCGTCCAGTGGATAGGATGTTGACGGTAACACACACACACAGATGGCAATTGCACCCAGTCTCATGATGAGGTGAGAATGGCACCACTACGTAATTGAAGAAATGTGTCTTGTTCGCCTGAATGGTGCAGAGCAGGATGAACTATATTGACAGAAATGAGGGGTGGCATTCTGCTGATGATGACGGAATGAAAATGCATGAGAATTGGGAGGGGGAAAAAACAAAACAAAAAATGATAATTTTTTATCGGTTGCTAGTTCACTCCAGGGACAGAAGAGAAAATGTCAGATTGAAATCAACGTGTTCCCACAGCTGTTTCCTGCTTCTGAAATCACATCATTTCCAGACCAGTCAATGACATCCTGATAACAGTAATGACAGCTTCTAATGAAAGATGGATGAGATCTGCTTATTTCTATTGTGTAAATCGATAGTCCTGTTTTTATTGGAACAAGGAGGTGAAGTAATTAGTGACCTTAATGACTGTACTGGATATTCAGTTTCATCTGTTTCTTTTATTGGACGTATTGACAAAATCATAAACAACTGACCTAAAACTGTCCTGTAAAAACTGGTGTGACTGAATAAAAGAGAGAATGCTTTAGTATTTGTTTATTCCCTGCAAAATTCTTATTGATACTGCTGTAAAGTACCATAATATTGCTTTGTTTTGTGATTGTGTTTTTCATGATGAAACCATAATATTCTTGTAAGTATGATTTAACTGTCGTTGTATATGAAAATGTTAATCATTCAATACCATATAAAAGTAGCACTGTATTTTGATAGTGTCACTCTATCAAGGTACCTCAGCAGTACCTTTTAAAAAAAGAATGTCTTAGGAAGGATCTGAATGCATCATTCCCTTTTTTTCCTTTTTTTATGAAACTAACAAAATGTGTTGAAATGTGATTTATCTTTTCAGGAGTGTCTTTTAACAGTGTATATACTCAGATTTGGAGGGTGCTACTGCATCTTGCAGCTGATCCATTTCCAGATGTCTCTGATCTGGCCATGAGGGTTCTCAACAGCATCGCATACAAGGTACAGACATTCCTGGGAGCCTAATTACATCTGCCCCATTTCACTGTACTCACATATTTATCTGCTGTTTCTTCTTATATCTATATATTTGTATAGGTGCATCTAAAAAAAATTGAATATCGTGGAAAAAGTTCATTTTTTGTAACTTATTTCAAAAAGTGAAACTTTCATATATTCTAGATTCATTAAATGTAAAGTAAAATTTTTTTTTTTTTTTTTTTTTTTTAATTTTGATGATTTGAGCTTACAGCTCATGAAAGGCAAAAATCCAGTATCTCAAAATATTATAATATTTACATTTGAGTTTCATTAAAGGGGCCATATGATGCTTTTTTAAAGATCATTATTTGGTGTATTTGGTGTAACAGAATATGTTGACATGCTTTAACGTTCAAAAAACACATTATTTTTCAAATACTGTCCTCTATGCCCCGCCTCTCTCAAACGCTTCGTTTTCTACAAAGTCCCTCCTTCCGACAAGCGCAGTCTGCTCTGATTGGCCAGCTGACCCAGTGCATGAACGAGCCATTTTAGGGGGGTGTGGCAGAGTCTTAACTTTGATAAAGAATATCTCTTTGGTTTTGAGACTTTAGTCTTTGCAACTTCAGGGATCTTATCTATGCACAATCAGCTTGTAACACTCCAAAGAGAAAGGAAAACTTGAAATTGCATCATATGACCCCTTTAAATGACAATCCCTACAGTGTAAATTCCGGGTATCTCTTGTTCTTTGAATCCACAATAATGGGGAAGACTGCTGACTTGGCAATGGTCCTGAAGACAATCATTGACACCCTCCACAAAGAGGGTAAGTCACAGAAGGTCATTACTGAAAGAGGTGGCTGTTCACAGAGTGCTGTATCAAAGCATATTCAATTCAAAGTTGACTGGTAGGAAGAAATTGGGTAGGAAAAAGTGCTTAAGATGTTTATTTTGTTTTAACTAGTTTTGAGTATGGCACAAGGATCTGGCAAGAGCATGTCTGTAGAGAGCGACATATTTTTGACGAGAGTTTCAAAAAACTGTCAAGGAAAGGTTGTGTGGAATGCCGTTATATAGAGATGGTTTGGGTGTGTTTCATAAAAAAGACTCACCTCGTGCTCACGGCTGCTTATTTAGAATACTCCAAATTCACTAACATTAGAACAAGGTTAAGAAAAATGAATGTGCTTACGTGCATGTTGTGAATTAGGCAGAAAGTTTTCTTGAGAAGTTCGAATGTGCATATGAATACACATAATCTATGCAATTATTAGTAAATAGGACCCACTGTGTTTTTAAGAATGTTCACACTTCTCTCTTCCATGTAATGAAAGTGGATGAATGCAATGAAATGGATCAAGGAGGCAATTTTATTTCTAATCATAAATCTTTTAATACCATCTGATACCTTTCAATTCCATACTGCCACAGTACTTTTTTTGTAAGAATCCAGAAATCATGCACTTATGTGTCTAACATGTGTCCACACATACACAAGCCCACATATTACATCTGAGCCTTATACGTCCTACTATTAAACTTTCCACATTCAGCCCTGTTTGTTATTATTAAGCAAATGCAATTAAAAAGAAATGGCTCCCTGTGGCCTGGTAATATGAGCAGCCGCTCTGAGAGGCACCTGTAAGTTAAGAAGCTAACAACCACCACCACTGACTTCTGTGTCTGAGTATCTGCTGTGCAAGCTGTGTCAGTACCCTGCTTCCTCTCAGACTCCTCATATATGGCCGACGAGTCCCTACTCACATCCCTATCCACTAGATAAAACTAGAGACACTGCATTTTCAGTTGCTGTTTTCTTAATATTGCAGCTTGTCCAGTAACAATTCACCAACATCAAGCAGTATATAATTTATTTTTTTAATTCACATTGTTTTCTCTGTAGCTTTACTATTAAGAATGCTGAGGGAACATTCATTCTAGTCAGTTGTTTCATCCCTCTCCCATATGTTTAGTTGGTAAGCCAAATTAATTATTGTTTTGTTCAGAATGTAAATGAAAAGATTCACATGAATATTTTGGTAATTTTCTGTTCATTGCTATGTATAGGATCTTTTCAATCTTTTCTTTCAGTGTAAATATGAGGCTTGTTTTTATACCAGTGAATATAAATCAGAAGTTTGATATTGTACCATTCTGATCATAATTTGCCGTGCTGTGTACTAAACTAGCAGCTCTTCAATTTACTGTCGTTAGCTTTTTTTCCCCTGGGTGTCTTGATAACAAATTCTTTGCTCAAAAGAGTATCTTTAACTGCTTCAAATTATGACTAGCTAGTAGCTTGGCGAACTACACTGTCAAAGCGCTTCCTCAAAATTACATTGCTCAAGGGTTTCCAGAAGTTCAGCTTAACTGCTTACTTAAAACAGTGGCAAGCTGTACATGGCAACATTTTTTGGTTTTCTGTTCATTTGAGTTCATGAAAGTTCATATAAATTTTGCTGAATTAACTTTTTCGAATCCATGATTTTGCCTAAAGCAACACTTAGAGGTTACTTAGAAGTGGCTTCTTATGTGGTTCTCAGAGGTCTGTGAGGCTTCACTAATTAATATATTTGTCATCACATTACTCTCAATTTGATATCATCTAGCATGAGCAAGATGCAGAGAGACTTTGGGAAACACAGTTACTGCAGACTGATTCGCTTTTTCGCTTTACTAAAAATCTTCTTTTCATACACCATACTGAGTTATGTTTTTAAGTTGAAGCTTGAGTGTTGTTATAATCCCCTGTTACAGAGTTCAAACTGAGGAGGGGTAGTCGGAGTTCCAAAAATCCTCTGACAGAGTATCAGACATTCTTGCTTATTTTCTCAGGTCTGCTTGCATCATGTCTACACTCTTAAAAATAAAGGTGCTTCAAAAGGTTCTTCAAGCGATGCCATAGAAGAACCATTTTTGGTTCCACAAAGAACCATTCAGTCAAAGGTTCTTTAAAGAACCATCTCTTTCTTACCTTTTTGTAATCTGAAGAACCTTCTTTTGCCACAAAGAACCTTTTGTGAAACAGAAAGGTTCTTCAGATGTTAAAGGTTCTTTATGGAACCATTTAGACAAAAAGGTTCTTCTATGGCATCGTGAAGCACCTTTATTTTTAAGAGTGTACATCAGTTTGAGCCTGATTGCAGTCAAATAACTAACAATGGAATTTCTTTTTTTTTTTTTGAGTACCTGCTACATAAGCACTTCAGTGATTTTTGTTAGACACTGATTAATGTTGAAAAGTCTATAAACCATAATTGCAGAACTTTCAAAGGTTGTTTAAATTTCCAATAATCAAACTTGTTTTGTCTTTGACCTTTCTTAAGTTCCTGAGCAGCAGGTGACAATGAGTGCCTATTTGTCATGCTGACATTTGTGCTGTGAAACTCAGATAGACCTGCTGAGTCCAGTCAGTGCAAAATAACAAACACACACACAAACACCCCTCTATCGGAGCCTGTTATGTTCTAACTTATATTCTAGTTTACTCATACTAGCACTAAAAGTACAGTATAACTTCACTGATGAAAGGAAAGTGCATCATTTTAAGTATGCAGAAAGACAACACACCACCACTGAGAGTGATATACTACTACAATACAAAATTGAATCTTGTTACTACAAATCCTACTAAAAAACTACTAGAAATGAAGAGAAATTATTTTTTTTGACTACCAATTTCATACTACTGTATTTAGGACAGCAGTGCATTCAAATAACTAACTTTAATGATCTAGGATCTGACTTTTCATGTTTACACTTCAAGTATATATAAACTCAATCTCACATGATAATCGGATAAGATTATATAGATGGCTTATATTTTGTTTTTCATAAATTATTAACGGTGTGCAAGTATAGTGTTGTTTAATGGTGCTCCACCCCCGTGCCATTGTGATGCCTCTGCTTTTATCCTTCTAGATTAGATCTTGGATTTAAACAATACAACAGATTTTGATTTAGAGGAAAACATAGCAGCAAACTATGAAATTGTGTTTGTGCAAACTACGTTAAATAAGAAGTATAATTTTAGGGCATCATACAGTATATGCTCATGATGCATGGCTTTTCTAAAAGGTAAGCATCTTAATTATCAAAATGCTCTGTGACAAGCTAGGTGGGAAAAAAAACTAATCAAGTGGAAATGCATTTGCCCTTAATTTAGTAATAAAAATATTTAAAAATGTGTAATAAAAACAAATTATTATAACTAATATTTTTAATGTGTGAAGCATTTGTGATTTTTAAAGTATCATGCTGCTAGCTTATCAACATAGTAGCAGCAAACTATGTTAAAGCCTTAAGGACTTAAACTACAGAACATAAGGAAGATTGCTTTGACACTTTTAGTGTAGACACCCTCAAGCCACTGCGGTGCTTAATGTCAGTGGACACTCAGTCTTATAGCAAGGCAAATCGCTAGATTTTGGAACATAGCTAGTGTCTCTCTTTTATGGGGGTTGTAACTAAGAACATTAATGTATTTATTTATATCCAATTTATTTGGTCTTATAAATATTTTTTCTCTCTCCTCCTGTCCCTATCAATGATTATTGTTTACATTTCAATAATCCATATCATATCTTTTCAATATTCATATCTATTTTCTTTTATAACTTGATGCATCTGTGGGAGACAAACACAGTCATTTTAATGTTTGATCTGCAGCCCAAACACAGAATAACTTTATTTCCGTCTACTCAATCATGATGAATCTACCTCTCTTTCGCTTCCCAGCAGGTTTTAGCATATAAATCAGATTAGACCATTTCTCCAGATGGCAGTGAGAGGATGGGATTGTTAACTAGATTTAGATGAAGCAGATAAGTCAACTTGCTGTGTTTTTATAAACCACACATTTTCAGATTTTTACCATTTTAGGCTGTGATTATAGTTATGAGGAAGAGTTTTGCTGTTACTTTTGTCTCTAGGATTGCAGCTCAAACAGAGATGCATTCTCTATATTTGCACACATTAACTTTTACTACATTTTACTTACAATACTACGGGGCCACCAGAAAGTTTTTTTTTCTTCTAGCACTTAGATACACAACTTTTAAATGGCACAGTAGTCACTGTTGTACAGGTACAGTAGATCGTAAATTTAGACTTAATGTAGATTTTCATTTCATTTTTGCTGCTTTTGATGTACTCACACTGCAAAAAAATGCTTTTCAAGCTTAGATTTTTGTCTTGTTTCCAGCCAAAATATCTAAAAATACTTAAATAAAGAAGGATTTTCTAGACAAGTAAAAATGATTGTTTTGTTTTCAGAAAAAACAAGTCAAAATTAAGTGAGTTCTGTTTGAAATAAGAATATTTTGTTTACCCCATTGGCAGATTATTTAGCTTGTTTCAAGCAAAAACTCACTTAATTTTGACTTGAACTTTTACTTGTCTAGAAAATCCTTCTTTATTTAAGAATTTTTTTATATTTTGGCTGGAAACAAGACAAAAAATCTAAGCTTGAAAAGCTTTTTTTGCAGTGCAGGGCTATGTGATGCACAGTTTTAGACTTTTACATTTTTGTAATCCATCTGCCTTCTGCCACTGCTCTCACATCAGGCCACCATGAACGCTCGTACACAGAGGATTCTGGACTCAGGATCTCTGACCCAATCAGCACCTGCCAGCCCCACTAGCAAAGGAACACTCATACATCAAGCAGGGTGAGTTATAAATACTTAAATATGTATTTAATTTGCTTAAAATCAGCATAAGGACCATATAGTAACCTGGAATGATTTTTTTTTTTAATAACAGGTGACAAAGCAGAATGTAATAACTTGTGCATTTCTCTTATTTTACTCTCCTTTGCATTTATTAAACAGCATCCTGCTCCTTTTGGAATATGTTTATTGGCTATGCTTGGCTATTGCTGTTGATTTTGTTTTAACATGCAGCATTGCAATGCATGCTGGCCCTGTTCTTTTGCAGCGCATTAATCTGTGTATTATGGCCATGCTTGTTGGTGTTGTAGTGCTTCCCACAGATCCAAATGCTCTTCATCTCCCTTCAGCGGATCTCCACCTATGCCTGGTGCCTCCAGCTCCAGCCTCACCAATGAAGTGCCCAAACCGCCGGTCCGAGAGGGGCCGCCCTCTCGTCCACCATACACACCAACGCTGGGTGGTCAGGCGCCCCACTCACAGCAGTTCCCACGCACCAGGAAAATGTTTGACAAGGGCCCTGATCAGGTAAAACAGTGATATTGGTTTCCCACAGATCTATCCACAACCAGCTGTACTGTCTATTTGACATGTCAAATGATTTAGGAAAACTGTATTTTGCATCTATGTGGTTTTGTGGCACAGACACAAAATGAATCCACTAACAATGATACCACTCATAGCCCAGTGTCCAAGACCTTGGATACCTTCAGTATTCATTTTATATACAGTCATGGCCAAAAGTTTTGGCAGTGACGTTAATGTTGTGTTTTGCAAAGTTGGCTGCTTCAGTATTTGTTGATTATTTTTCCACATGTTTCTATGGTATAATGAAAAACAATGATAAGCATATCATAAGTTTTAAAGGCTTTTATTGGCAAAAAAATATAATGAGTCAATATTTACAGTGCTGAACCGTGTTCTTCATAACCTCTGCAATTCGCTCTGACATGCTGGATATTAGCTTCTGGGCCAAATCCTGACTGATGGCGATCCATTCTTGCCTTATTAGTTCTCGGAATTGATCACAATTTGTGGGCTTCTGCTTGTCCACTCGCCTTTTGAGGACTGACCACAGGTTCTCTATGGGACTAAGATTAGATTAGTTGCCTGGCCACGGATCCAAAATTTCAATGTAATGATCTTCGAGCCACTTGTTTATCACTCTTGCTTTGTGACATGGTGCTCCATCATGCTGGAAAATGCACGGATCATCACCAAATTGCTCATGGATCATTGGAAGAAGTCGCTCTTGCAGGACGCTTTGATACCATTCTTTATTCATGGGAGTGTTTTTGGGCAGAATTATGAGAGAGCCCACTCCCTCGGTTGAAAAGTAACCCCACACATGGTCTCAGGATGCATCACTGTTGGCACAACACAGGACTCATGGTAGCGTTCACCTTCTTTTCTCTGAACAATCGATTTTCCAGATGTCCCAAACAGTCGGAAGGGAGCTTCATCAGAGAAAATAATTTTACACCAGTCTTCTGCTGTCCAATCCTTGTACTTCCTGCAGAATTTCAATCTGTCCTTGACGTTTTTTTTCTTGGAGAGAAGTGGTTTCTTTGCTGCCCTTCTTGACACCAGGCCGTTGTCCAAAAGTCTTGGCCTCACTGTGCATGCAGATGCTCTCACACCAACCTGTTGCCATTCCTGAGCAAGCTCTGCACTGGTGGTGACACGATTCCATAGCTGATCCCTCAGGAGGGGACGGTCCTGGCGCTTGCTGGACACTCTGAGACATCCTGAAGACTTCTTCACTGCAGTCGAACCTCTCTCCTTGAAGTTCTTGATGATCCGGTGGTTCTTTCAGGTGCAATATTCTTTGTAGCAATTTCCTTGCATGTGAGGCCATTTTGATGCAAAGCAATGATGGCTGCACGTGTTTCTTTGGAGGTAACCATTGCTAACAAGAACACAATGATTAGAAGCGCTTCTTCCCTCCTTTTTAGTAATCAGTCTGCTCTTACAGAATAATTAGGATGATAGTGATTAACCTGACTAGTAGGGTACAACGGGGCTAAAGGCCCACCTTAAGAAAAAATGTGCCATTCACTACGCCTAAAATGTATAATTGCAGAAAAAATATATACGTTGTATTGAACATTAATGGAGCAACAGATTTTGTGTGAAAATAAATCATTCAAGTTGTTTATTTTGTTTAAAAATCTTATAAATGTATGAGGTGGCAAGAGGGGCCTTTTACCCCACGCACGGGGTAAAAGGCACATGGTATTGATACAAATGCTTCAGCTAAAATAATGTGTTTTTTTTTAAATAATGTCTAAGTTAATACTTGTTCAAAACAATCACTTTAGCAAAGTTTGTACTATTTTCTGCTTATTTTGAAAAATAAATGTTTTTTTCAATAAATATACTGTCATTAAAATGTTAATATAAAAAAATATATTTTAAAATACAGAAACAAAATCGTTTTAATAAGTAAAGATTCTGAAAGTATTGAAGGAGATCCAATAATAATTGAATATATATTTACAGTAGTAACAACAAATTATATTTTATTATATGATATGATTAATATCATGTTTTTAAATATAATGGTTTCATTATAAACATGGTGATTATCTCTAATATGGACACCCAACATAATATATGATATTTACCATCTGAATCTAACCATGTCATGTCAACAAATGGAAAAGTCAGCCATCTATTAATTATCATGTTAATTACTGTGCGCCTTTAGCCCCAAAAGCAGGGCGCTTTTTATCTCAAATACCATACTTTTAAATATTATTTTGTTATTTAAAAACGGTTGCTTTAATTATCTTAAACAAAACTGAAAATCATAAAGAATACCTTTGTCTCAAAATATATGCATTCATTTTAGCGATTCTTATTTGCTACTTAAATCTACAACATTTAAAAAATACATAAAATATTTGATCAAGTAAGCACAGAATCAACTTTGCACTGCTGCGCACGATCACGTCAAGAATCAGACGAATATACACGTGCATCTTGAAAAGCGAATGTTTTGGATAGTGCTACGCCACGTTTTTGTACCATCTAGTGGTTTAGATTAAAATAATATCAAAGGCGTCTTTTACCCCGGGGCGCCTTTAGCCCTGTTGTACCCTACTCATTCACACTTTCACATGTGCTGCTGATATGATTAGTCAATTAATGTTAGCTGGTCATTTTGTGTCAGAATCAAAAAACAGTGAAATTTTTTTGTTGTTGTTTTTTTTTTTGTAAAAAGTTCATTTTTTGGTCAATGAAGCTTTTAGCAATTATTTAAAATGCATCTGATCACTCTAAACAATAATCTAGAAACATTGTGAATGAACACCTCAACAGCTTAAGATGCAAACTTTGCAAAAACACAAAATTTATGTCACTGCCAAAACTTTTGGCCACGACTGTAGAGCATAAAACCTTTGTTAGATGGCTAGAACCTCAGTAGTCTCCAGTTAAAGAAGGAAAGTTTCTATCTGATGTACAAGAAACCCGTAAGACACATAAAGAGCTGGATGAGAGAAAATGAGGACTATGGATGAACAATATATAAATAAAAATAAATTAAAAAAAATTATAATAATTTAAATGTAAAAAAAAAAAAACTACAAATAACGAATAATAAAATCATTTCAAATGAAATTAGTATTTCATATTCATATAATTGAAAAGAACTGAACTGAGCTGGATGATGACATCACTAAATCAACAATGAACTGACTTTAACTGAATGTTCATATAAACAGTTCATAAAAAGCAGAATAAAGCACAGTCAGAAGGTCATTGTACAAGACCTAATCACCCTGTCAGGGTTTATTTGGTGATTCAGTTATATATTGTCACTTATGTGTTTTTATATATAAATGTATATTTTTATATAGCAAGGATGAATTAAATTCCATTAATTTCCATTTTAAATAAATGCTGTTCTTTTAAACTTTTTTTTTATCAAAGAATCTGAAAAAATTCTATGGAAAAAATTACGTTTCCATAAAAATATATAATAGTAAGTTAAATGTTACTCGATAATTATTCACTGTTTGAACATTTATAATAATAAGAGATGTTGCTTGAGCATATTAGAATGATTTTTTAAGGAGCGTGTGACTGACGATTGGAATAATGACTGCTGAAAATTCTGCTTTGGCATCACAGGAATAAATTACCTTTTAAAGTATATAGTAAAATAGGTTATTTTATATTGTAATAATGATTCACAATATTATTGTTTTTACAGATAAATACAGTCCTGATGTGCATAAGACTTATTTCAAACTAAATTCAATGATTAATGTTAATGTCATGCTGGTTTTTTTTTTTTAGTTTTCATGTAAGTACCTTTGGCAATTCAGTTGCATGTTGTCATTTGTCTGTGTATTTCTCAAGACTGCTGAGGATGGAGATGAGGCCGCCGCTCACAGGAGCTTCATCAGTGTGAGTCTGCAGACGGGTCTTTGTGACTGGAGTGCCAAATACTTTGCTCAGCCCGTCATGAAGGTGAGTGCTGCACAGATCAGACAAAACGTTAAATGTATTAGGGCTGTGCGATATAGACAAAAATATATATCGATATTTTCTGGGATTTTATCGATAACGATAATTAGACAACATTTTGCTGAGTGTGTTATTGTGCTGATATTTGATAAGGATAAGGTTGATAAGGACTACCGTAGACAGCTGACTTCTAAAGTTTTTGATATTCTGCATATTCTGTGTGGTGATCAATTGACAACAGTGATAGAAATTCATTTTTTCCAATAAGTTTAAATTGATTTTTACGTTTTATGTGCATTTTTACCTTTATAAAGCCATTTTTTCTAAAAGTGTGCATCATCTTTTCAGTCAAATTCTTAACTTGAATCAGTTAATTCATATTATAAGTCATTTGGGCTGTTACCAAGCAAATTAAATCAGTACTGACAAAATTCATCTTTGCAATGCAGAGGAAACACAGAAGCTGCATTAGAAGTGGCATTTAGATGAATTTACAGTTTCATGCAGGACATGAATGTTTTAACCTGCAGTTACAAATGCGTTAATGCTGTTTTGATATTTTAAACATAAAATGTTGAATACTGATATTTGATTTTTTTTTATTAAAATATATTTTAAATGTGAAATTAAAACCGCCAGTAGGGGGCAGCAAGTCACTGTTAATAAGTCAGTGCGATTAAACCAAATAATTTAAATGGTTGATTCATTCAGGAACGAAACACCGTCATGTTGCTCAGAGATGCAAATTGGAATTATATTTGTTGGTGAAATAGAGCAAAAGCACTCAATTGTGTCTAACGTAAGTGTATTACATTCTTGTTTATTGAACTGCTGTATAAAGTCTTCGTGTGATACTGATTAACTATATGAAATGATATAAATATATAAATTTCTGCCCCCATGTCTTGAATTTTGTGATCATTCTAAATGCATTTTAATAAACTGAATCATGCAGTGAAAGAACGCGCTCTGGTTTATCCTACTAGACTTCCTATTGCCTTAGCTAAACTTTAGCTAACTTACAGCTGAGTCATGGATGTTAGCAAGACAAATTAGCTAAATTTAGCTTTTGTCTTTTCGAGGCACAGGTAGCTTAGTATGTTGCTCATCACCACTCACCTCCACACCAAGACAAACACTACTGGAAAGAGAGGGAGGGCTTCACTTCACTTCACTCTCTGCCTGACTAACTGTAATGTGTGCAGATCAATGTGTGCTACACTGCTGTGCTGCGCAGAGACGGAGGGGTGAAAGTCTCAACATTTCCCGACCCGACTTGCTATTTAGATTTTTTATTTGTTTGACAGGGAAAGCTGTGCGCAAACAGAATCACACACATATATACATATATTCAATAAAAAAAATACTACAGAAAAAAGGGCAATTTCTCTTGAGGAAGAAAAAGGGCAGGTGCTCAAGCCCCCTTTGATGTCTATGTGTGCACATGCCATTATGACACAAACAGTGGTTCAGTTCCAAAACCTAGTGAGGTCCTTGGCAGTGTACTGCCGACAGCCATCTATTCAAGAACAGCATCCTAACCAAAATGGAATCTGTGAGGTTTGGTGCCAAGAACCCAAACGCATAGTTAGATTAACAAACTTTATTTATAAAAAATTTTAAAAACCAAGGCAGAAAACAAACAAGAGCTGACAGACACTGAGTCTGGGACTGCCTTTACCAGCAAGGACACTAGGAGAGGTGAAAGCCAAGCAAGCATCAGATCCAGAAGAACAATTCAAAGGGTGAATACACGTGAGAAATCCGAGCCAGGCAGGAGGTAGTAATGTTATCAGAATTTTTACATAAAAATATATCATAATTTAGAAGTAATAGGCTATTTTCTGTCCTGTTTTGTCCGCCCTCATCAGATTGCTCTGTTTGAATAGGCGTGGCGGATTGTAGACTCGGAAGTAAACGCCCACTGCTATGATTGGCTAACAGTTATGAATGTTTGACAGCCTACATCCTTCACAGATGGACGCTACTGTGATTTAGGTTAAAAATGCATAAATACTCAGTACATATCAAACGATCTGTAATAACAGACAAAGCAATAGTGTCCACATAATAATAAAAACAGTTACTCACACTTGTGTGGTGCGACATTACTGTCGGATCCAATTTAGTTGACACAGCATTGTCTTTTAGTTTTAATCTTTCAGAAAATTCTGTGTGGAATTGTGCCTTGTCTGTAAACGTATCCGTGGTAAAATGAAGTGAACAAAGGACCAAGTTCTTACTGACGCAGTCTGGAACTTCATGAAATATAAAGTTCACTCTTTCCTAATGTTGGGATCAGAAGAAAGGCAATGCAAAGACTGTATTTTTTCACAACTGGCACTGCACAGCGTCTTTATGGCCATTTTGATATATGGAGCACATAACATCTCCCACTGAAGCCATATTGACGGTCTGGCCTTCTATAATGACACACTAACTCAGAAATAGGTTAAGACCAATTTGTGGGCATTTATTCGCAAAAACTTAAGCAAGTAGGTAAACAAGTAGGTTAGTTTATCAAAAGATGTAGATACCAACTAATGTATAAAACAGTTAGTCAAGTCACCTTTATTTATATAGCACTTTATACAATACAGATTGTGTCAAAGCAGCTTTACAGTGTTAAACAGGAAAAATGTATGCTGATAATGCTAGAGGACAATAGTAAACTAATATTATATATTTTTCAGCTAAAGTAAGTTCATTGTTGGTTCAGTGATGTTATCATCAAGCTCAGTTCTGTTCTTTTCAAATAGTGTCTGTGCAATCAAGTCGACAGTATTGCCAGAAATTTTGTCCCCAACTAAGCAAGCCAAAGGCGACAGTGGCAAGGAACCAGAGGTGTAAAGTATTTGAGTAAATGTAACTAATTACTGTACTTGAGTATCTTTTTGGATACGTCGTAGTGTTACTGAATATCAAAGATATTAGTGTTAAAAAGGCCCTCTGCAAATGTTTATTTATGTACTTCAGCTCTTGATATGACCCTTCTGAATTTGTTTAGTTGATATTCATTGTTTAAGGGTACTTTAAATGTAATGACTGATTGTGGTCACATATGCTCATTATGTTGATTGTTCTTTGAAGTGTGTTTTTCCTACCTTTTTAATTGTATGGATTTACCTACTTTATTAATTTGTGTTTATTCTAATTTGTTTTATCCTTGTTAAAGACCACACACATGGAAACACCAAAATAATTGTTTGCACTTGCGTGCTCCACATTAATTGGACTTTCATGGAATGGTTGTGGAGAAAATAAAAGCATCAAGAACTTTAAACTGCATCTTTATGTCTCTGTTCCCCCCCTCCTCAGACATTGTCTACCCTTCCTGTACCTAGTCAGTCCAAAGCCCTAGATTTCCCTAAACCAGTGCCAGCCCCAAGAAAGCCAAGAACAACTGAACCTGTAGCAAAGCCAAACTATGCCCAAGCCTCTCACGCTGCATCACAAGATAGTAGTTCAGCAGAAAGTGTGGAGAGCTATGAGTATTCAAGCAGTCAAGAAAGTTTGTCCTCTTCTGTTGATGGCATGAGAAACCTGTCCCTGGGCACATCCAGGCAAAAGAAAGTTAATACCAGTCCAACAATTGATAGACAAATTTGTCAGAGAAAAGGTGGAGGAAGTCAAGCCAATATTGTAGGAAGTTATACACAATTTTCTTCCAGACCACGGCACAGCTTGTCTTCTAGGAGCAAGAAATGGCACCACCACTTCCCAAGTCCACCTACTGACCAGGAAAGAGTATATCGTGGCCCTACTCCTACAATTCCTGACCTGATTCACCCAAACCCCAGAGAGTTTGCACGGCTTAAGATCGCTTTAGAAAACATTCTTCCAGCTGATGCTACAGAACGCTTTAAATTTCATATCCTGCTAGAACATCTCAAGGTTGAAGAGGCTCAGTTAATTGCTGAATCTTACAGCAGTTCACATCATCCTTTTACCAACACTATGGATGCCCTCAATCAACAGTATGGCCAGCCACATCAGTTAGCGTTGCAGCACGTAGTGGAATTGATGGATGGGCCCAGCATCATCACTGGAGATATTAACTTTCGAATGTATGCTCTGAGGGTGAGATCTTTGGTGGGAATGCTGAGACAACTAGGTAAGCCTGGCATGGTGGAATTAAGATGTGGCTTGCATGTGTCCAGACTTCTGCATAAATTGCCACATGATCTGTGCAGCAGTTTCAGAAGATTTATTTATCCATTAGACGTGAAGATTCCTACCCTCCTTAACTTAGCAGACTGGTTAGAATATGAAATCCAAGTTCAAGAAGATTCCACAAGGTATGCAAGCCGTTCGAGCAGAGGGTACTCAACCAGTTTGTCCAGGGATATGTCAAGGAAGGTGAAATCATTCCACAAAGGGACACAAGTTCTGCTTGGCACTGAGAAATTTCCTTCAACACCACATTCCTCAGCTGTCACAGCTAAGATCACAAAGGGAAAGTTTACTGCCCTTGTTGTGATAACGACAAAACACACTTTGAATAACTGTGTAAATTTCTCAACTTTCCAAATCTCAGAGGCAGAATTGGATCAAGGGGTACAACCGATGCTGTGGACGGGGCCATAGATCATCAGAGCGTAACCTAAAAATGCGCTGCAAAACATGCAATGGTCATCACTTACTTGTTCCATGCATTAACCTAATGAAGAACAAGGAGAAAGCAATGGAAAGGGAAGATCCATGTGCTAGCCCTGTCATGGGGGAGGCCGCCAACGAGGTGTTCATTGACAAGCCCCCAGGAAGTCGTAAGGTACTGTTAAAGATATGTAAAGTCATTCTAAGAAATGGAGATCCATGAATGCTTATGCCATTCTTGATGATGGCTCCGAAAGAACCATCTTGTTAAATACTGCAGCAACCCAACTGAAAGATAAGCCAGAGGGCTTGCCCCTGCACAGTCAGACAAGAGTTAAAGATCCTGCATGGGGCGGCTGTTTCCTTTAACCTTTCACCAGCCTGCCAGCCAAATAAGATATATCAGA